AGGCTGAGGTTTTGTGACTTACACAAGATCACATTAAATGGGCTAAAGTGGAACCAGAAACGAAGAATTTTGACTCTTAAGAAAGGACTTTTCCTGAATTTCCCATATTGGCTCTGCACTGAAAAAAAATTACACATTCGGTAGGTCTTCTGGTTGAAGAATGTTACTTTATTTACGCCAGTGTCAATTCAGGTCATGGTGATCAAGTTGGACTTGCTGTGATTAACATTTCCTGAGAGGACCACTGAGATGGGCCAGACATGGCAGAGTTATCTCCAACACTGTTCAAGTCCACAGGCGAACTCAGGAATACTCTAATTTTGGAAGGCAATTTTTGCCTACAATCGAGCAGAACCTCATTTAAAGAAAGATGATAAGAACAGGATTGAGCATTCTCTCTCCTGGGCTCTATAGCACCTAGCCAAGAGTGAAATAGAGTATTTGAAAACTTACCCTATGGGTACTGCTTAGGAAAGTGTAATTTCACTCCCTCTTCCTCTCACCTCCCACATACAAAGGTATGTACACACACAAACACGCACTCATCTTCTCAAATTAGTTAGCTAGCTTATTTTTGAGGTGTGACTAAGCTGAAACATTCTTGCAGGGAGTGACTTTTTTTTCTCTGCTTCTGGAAGAAATCAGAAGCCAAAGACAGTTGAATAACATGGGGTTAGAGCTTTGGCGATCTTATTATAAAACCTTAAAACTCTGGGAAAATGTACAAGATTATTTATAGTCTGATGTATTCGCAATGAACTACAATCTGCAAGGTGTTTAGGAACTTCTATTGACTAAACTGTTAATGTCACAAAGCTAATCAACAATTATTCTATTGCAGAATAAATTCTTAGCTTCGGCTTTTCTTGGTTAAATTTTTATTTATTTATTTATTTATTATTATTATTTTTAGATACGGGGTCTTACTTTATCACTGAGGCTGCAGTGCAGTGGCATGATCATAGGTCACTACAGCCTTGAACTCCTGGGCTCGAGTGATCCTCTGACCTCAGCCTCCCAAATAGCTGGAACTACAAGCGAGCATCACCATGCCTGGCTAATTTTTTTGCTGTGAAATCATTTCAACTTATAGAAAAGTTATAAGAATTATACTAGAACTCCTAGAAATAGTTTACCTGGATTCATTCATTGTTTACATTTTGTCCCATTTTTTTCTCTCTTTCTCGCTCTCCCTCCCTCTTTGGAAGTACACTGAGATATCATTTGCCCTTAACATCAGAGTACGTTTCTTTTTTTTGAGTCAGAGTTTTACTATTTCACCCAGGCTGGAGTGCAGTGGTACACCCATGACCACTGCAGCCTTGACCTGCTAGGATCAGGTGATCCTTCCACCTCAGCCTTCCAAGTAGCTGGAATTACAGAAAAACAGGCATGCACCACCAAGTCCAGGTAATTTTTGATTTATTGTAGAGATAAGGTCTTGCCAAATTGCCCAAGCTGGTCTTGAACCCACAGGCTCAGGCAATCCTCTCATCTCAGCCTCCCAAAGTGCTGGGATTATAGGCGTGAGCCACTGTGCCTGACCAGAGTGTGGGCATTCTCTAACATAACCACAGCATACGAGGGGGGATGCCCCCCAAAATGGAATTATCTTTTGGAGGGTGTCCCCTTGTAGTACACTCGGAATTTGTTCCTCCTGATCAAACAGTCAACTAAAGTTTTTATCTGGAAGTTTTGAGAAGGTTGCGTCATGATTTGCAGAAGAAATGTTTCAAGTTGTGGCAAACAGGTGACTGGTTCTTATACTATGACAGCATACTTGCCCACAACGCAATGAGTGTTCAGCAGTTTTTGACCAAAAGATGGCATGAACCCATGCCTCACCCTCTCTATTTACTGGATTGCTCCCTGAGCGACTTTTTTTTTTCCTGTCAAATAAAAAAAGTCCTCAAAGGGGAAGGTTTTGCTTATGCAGAGAAGGTGAAACAAAAACTGGAAGCAGTACAAGACATCAAACTGATGAGTTCTAAAACTGTTTTGAGCATTGGAAAATGAAGCATAAACAAGGAGTACTTTGAAGTTGACTGAAGTTTAAACACGTAAGAATAGACACAGAAATTTTTATAAGTTAATTTTGTTTTTGGGGGGGATCCCCCTTGTAGATATCAACACTTAAAAAATTAACTTTGATACAAATTGATTTAACATTGATACACATTTAACATTAGATACAAATATCTAATTTGTGGTCCATTATCAAATTTCATCAATTAAACCAGTAATTTTTTTCTAGTCCGACATCTAGTCTGGAATGGTGCACTGCATGCATTTAGCATCATGCCCTTTAAACTGAAACAGTCCCTTGACCCTCCCTGTCTTTCTCAATATGGATATTTTTGAAGAGTACAGGCCGCCTATTCCAAAAATGTTCTTCAGCTTTAACTTGTCTGACTTTGATTTAAAAATACAAGGTAAGCATTTTTGTCAGGAATATCACAGAAGTGATACTGTGTCTTTCTCAGGAAATCTTCTAATAAGACACACTGTGTTGGTTTGTACTATTGTTAGTGATGTTTCCTTTTTTTTTTTTTTTTTTTTGGAGTCAGAGTCTCACTCTGTTGCCCAGGCTGGAGTGTAGTGGCACACTCACGGCCACCACAGTCTCTACCTGCTGGGTTCAGGTGATCCTTCTGCTTCAGCCTTCCAAGTGGCTGGAACTACAGGTGTGCGCCACCATGCCCAGCTAATTTTTCTTGATTTATTGTAGAGATGAGGTCTCACCAAGTTGCCCAGGCTAGTGTCAAACTTGTGGGCTCAGCCAATCCTCTCACTTCTGCTTCCTAAGGTGCTGAGATTACAGACGTGGGCCACCACGCCCGGCAATGTCCTCTTTTGAGTACAGAAAGTCCTTCCAGTTCCTTCGGTTTCTCTGTTGCAAAGTTACAGCTTTTCTCTTTGTAGGTAATTTTCTGGGACATTTTTTGAAACTGTGCAAATGTACCTTCCTCATCAAACTTTCACTCATTTGCTTTGGCATTCACTGATAAGTTTCTAATTCCTTCCCAAATTATTGGTAGGCAATCTACCGTAAGGGAAAGTTTTCCTTTCCCCCTTATTTATGTATTTGTGTAGTTATTTATCTGAATAAGGATTTATGGATTCTTGTTTTATTCAATGGTTTATAATCCCATTATTTGTTTTGATGTCCCAGTACACCCAGATTTGGCCAGAGACAGTCAAATCCTTGACTTATACATCCATCAACCAAAATAAAATGCACACTCTTCCCATGGCCTCCAGGATTTTCCATACCTAGCCTCTGCTGACCTCATGTCATACTCATCTCAGATCCCAGTCTCCCACTGGACACCTTTTGCTTCAGCCCCACTGAACACCTTCAGTCCCACTGGACACCTTTTGCTTCATCAGCCACATCAACTTATTTTCCACCTTAGGGACTTCACACTTACTGCTCTCTCTGCTCAAACTCATTTTCCTGAATCTCGACTTGCCTGGCTTTTTCTCATTATTCAGATATCAGCAAACCATCATTTTTTCCAAGAGATCATCTCTGACTACTCTACCTGAAGTCGCTCTCCACTCTTCCTTGTTATGCTCTGTCACTTCCACTAGTTTATTTTCTGCATAGCACTCATCACTCTCCTAAGTTATTTATTTATTTGTCTCTTGCCCAAAACCCTGTACGAAGTCTGAGATCTTACCTACAGTGTTTGTTGTCTCTGTATCACCTAGAATAACGTCTGCAAATGTGTGCATGTGTGTCGGGGTATGTATGGAAGGAGCTGAATAAATATTTTTGGATGAATGAATAATGTAACAATTTGGCTGGGTATTCTTTATGATATACCTTCCATAGTCTATGAGAATCCTAAGGGACAAAATACTTTCATTATATAAATTGCTAATGAACATAAATCAAAATTTCTTTACTTTTTCTTCCTTTTATACTTTGCTTACTTTTCTAATGAGCAAATATGCAACACTCTCTTACTATAATATACTTACATATAAAAAGAATATACTTACTGTTTTTTTTTGGAGGGGGTCAGAGTCTCACTCTGTTGCTCAGGCTGGAGTATGTAATGGTACACTCACAGCCACTGTAGCCTTGGCCTGCTGGGCTCAGGTGATCCTTCCATCTCAACCTTCCAAGTAGCTGGAACTAAGGTGCATGCCACCACCCCTGGCTAACTTTTTGATTTATTGTAGAGACGAGGTTGTGCCAAATTGCCCAGGCTGGTCTTGAACCCCTGATCTCAGGCAATCCTCTTGCCTCTGCCTCCCAAAGTGCTAGGATTACAGGTGTGAGTCACTGCACCAGGCTATTGATTTTTTAAAGCAATTACTTAGAAAAAAACATTTTCACTTTGAAATTATAGAAATACTAAACATTAACATTTTAGTTTGCACAAGTTAGAGCCACAAGAGAAATCTGCTGTCTGCTGTCTCTTTTCCAAAGTGGGCTTTAAATTAGGCCGAAGGTTATTTCACCTAGGGGGGTACTCAGGGCTGCCTTTCCATGGAAATAAAACTGGATGTTTTGTCTCTGGTGTAACATAAAACAGAAAGAATGTGTCATTAGGGACAGGAACTGGGGACTCTGGAATATACTCCTATACTCTGTGACAGAACACAGCTGTTCTCTTCTAGGGAATATGGTGAGAAACAAGCTTTTGAGTTCAGTTACAAATACTGCTTGTCATTCAATGACTTTGGGGTGGTGAGAGAGAGCTTGTAACTGGATTTATTTTGCTCATCTACAGATTTTTAGTTATGGTACCAAAATATATAAATATTTGAGTAAAATATCTGCAGCAGTCAGTCTCAGAATTTTCATGTATTTGTTCACCTCAAAATTCCAGGAAAGATTTTGGCAACTATTGGATAATTTTCCATACGGAACTCATTTTAAGAACTGTAATTGTTATAATTACATAGTCAATTTTTTTCTAGGAATGGAAACATGGGGGCTATAAGGGACAGCATGCATCTTGTTTGTTTGTGTGTTTTTTTCTAAGGAGCATAGCGGCCACTGATCATGAACCAACAGATGCCAGGAAATCATTCCCTTGTTTTGATGAGCCCAACAAAAAGGCAACTTTTACAATATCTATCACCCACACCAAAGAATATGAAGCAATCTCAAATATGCCAGTGGTGGTGAGTATTTTTTAAATGTTTTGGTTATGAAGATGGTCTGTTTACAATAACAGGTAGATTACCTGATTTGCTATGGAAGATAACCCATTGAATTCTAAAACTAAGTGTGCACTGATAGTTCATTTAGAAGGTTGAAATGCATTTTAGCAATCTTTTTTTCTTTTAGTCCTAGGAGCCTTAAGATATCAAAGTCTAGTTTTTTAAAAAAGCCACGTTGGAGTTTTTAAGTAAGAGAAAAATACAGTAGACATCTATCAGTTTGGACTCTGCTTAACTGACAGGAGCCCTGAGTCATGAAATTACAGAAATGGCAGACAAATGGAATTACAGGCTTGAAAATATTTGAGAGCTTACTCACTATCTAGTTTTCAGTTGAATACAAACCCAGGTTTTTTGGTTTTTTTTTTTAAGATAAAGCTAAAAAAAAAAATGAAGAAGAAAAGAAAAAGCTTGACTAGTTTGTTAAAAAAAGATAAAGCTACGTAAAAAAAAAATCACTTAAACCCTATGCTCAGATTTTTCTGACGAATGGAAAGTGCTTGTTACATGTTTGAAAAAAATGAACAGATTTCAATACTTTCTGCCTGTATAATGTGTAATTATTAACATAAGACTCTCCTCTGTTAATGCCCTTCAGCTACATAACAGGAAAATGTAGTTAACTAAGACTGTCCTTACCTCAAAGTTGAAGTTTGCCATACTTTAACATTTGATATGTGGAAGAGGCAGTCTCATCTTTAGGTACAATTAACTGTCAGAAGGACACCCAGCCAAAAATTGTATCTCCCATCTTTCTGATCCACTTTCTAAAATATCATTGAATTTTCATCTTTTTAAATGATATAATATTCTTTAAACAGCAAACATAAAATTAAGCAGATAAAAAGAGGATTAAAATGTACTGTCATCAGTCAGCCATGCCTAAGAGTGAATTAGTTATCAACTTGCTTTCTTCTGGTGTCAGGCACCTGGGAGATTCAGCTTTGATTGGAGAAGAAAGAGGAAAGAATAAACTTAAAGTATGACACACCAATCCAGAAGACAGGCTTGGGGTAAAATGCTACTAGGTTTTTACGGTAGAGTAGCATTGTGAGAGCCCTATCATGTTTATGCAAGTGCATGTGGACACATGCTTGCAATGTCAGTGATGAATCCATGGTAGTCCAGCCTCGCTGGCTTAGTATCTTTTCAAAGCTTCCCACTTAGAGAGTGACTGCAGGGGTTGTGGAAATGTTTAAATAATGTTAGAAGGCACTGGGTAAGTATTCATGGCTGAAGTCTTAGGATTAGTGATAGACAGTGAAGACAGCAGAGTTGGCATGGACAAAAAATTAGATGGGTCAGTTGTGTCAAGCAATGGAATCCCTCTCTCTGTCCATGCTTAACAAGGCTCTGACTGCAGTGACCATATCTTTGGTCTTCAATGTAGACAATCAAAGGTGGAAAGGAGAAGCCAACATTCTGCTCTGCCGGCTGCAATGACTGCCCTCCTGCACACAGTCAAATCAGTAAAAACCTACTCAGTTCTTCCTCTAGGTGAGAGACAGAGCATGAGTCTATTTTCATTAAGGTATCACAGTACCCTCAAATATTATGGTCAGAATTTTGTGTTTAGTGTAGAAAGGTACATTCCAGTTCAGTTGATAGCATGGTCAAAACTTTATTTCTTCCTGAGAAACCTAATACAGTGTATACTTTTTCAGTACTAAGAATAAAGTGAATTTTCTGTTAGTCTTTTCAACATTGCCACAAACAATTTTACTCTTCAGCTTTGACAAAGAACTTCTGACTAGAGAGCCAGGTTTGGGGCAACCATTTGTTTGTCTTGCATAGGATTGATCTTTTGATAAATAATAGATTAACTTTTGTTTTCAATAGAAAAATGTGTCATTGGATGATAAATGGACTCAAACACTTTTCGAGAGGTCTGTTCCCATGAGCACTTACCTAGTGTGCTTTGCTGTCCATCAATTTCATGCTGTAAGAAGAACATCAAACAGTGGAAAACCCGTGAGTCCCACTGTATTTTTAAAATATACTACATATGCATTTGTAATTAATTTTCTTCTTTCTAGAATTTTTTTTCTCACATAACATGCCAAAAAAAGCATGTCCACTAGGATCTGTGAACTTGATAATACACTGAAGGATATAGAGAAATATAAACTGAAAGGACATAGGTGAAACATAAAGAAACATGACAGACAACATGAATATGCATGGCCTTGAAATATTTCAAGAGGAAGATTCCATAAATCAGAAGCTAGCTCCTAAGTATACCAGTGCCAGTATATTTAAATATTCAGGTATGCTCAATTTAATAAAATGGTTGAGTGTATGTACTGGGGTGAGGTCCCAGGTAGAGACAGAGAGGGAAGAGGAAATCAGAAGTTTGTGAATATTCTTGGAGTGACTAATCACAGAGAAGTTTATGGTGCTATTCCTATATGTAATTCACAATAGGACAGCAGCAAAGTGTTAACATGTATTTTTTAAAATTGTGAGAAGGCCTGGCACAGTGACTTAGCCTGTAATCTCAGCACTTTGGGAGGCCGAGGCCAGAAGATTACCCGAGCCTGGGGGTTGGAGACCAGCCTGGGCAACTTGGTGAGACCTCGTCGCTACAATAAATAAAAAATAAGCCGTGCATGGTAGCGTGCACCTGTAGTTCCAGCTACTTGAAAGGCTGAGGTGGAAGGATTGTATAAACCCAGCAGGCCGAGACTGCAGTGGCTGTGAGCATGCCACTACACTCTAGCCTGGGCAACAGAGTGATACTACAACTAAAAAAAAAAAAAAGTATGTGAGAAAATATAAATAAGTTTTTTAAAAATGAGAATGGCTAGTTCAATCTTTTTCTTTTGAAAAACCAAGTACTTTTACCTAATTAATTTTTCCATTTTGCTGATGCCCTGAATACTTGTCTTAGTCTATTTATGAAGCAAGTTAATCCAGCTCTGTGCCATATACTTTATATATATAAGACCTCATAATGTTTGTGATATAATTTTATAAGGAAGAAATTACCCCCATTTTACAGAGGAGAAAATTGAAGCTTAATGAGTTTAAGTAATTTGCTCAAGATCACCCAGCTGGCAAGTGGTGGAGGCTCAAATTCCAAATTCTTCCTGAGTATTGTACCTTGCTAAGCCTTCTGAAATGTGATATTCTGAAAATATCTTTACCTCTTCACTAGTTGTTGGAGAGGAGGGGATTGGTTCCTCTCTTTCCTGTAAAAACTATCTCCTGGAACAATTTATCTTCATTTTCATATAGTATGGGTTGATATTTAGATAGCCTAAACCTGGGTTTCCAGCATGTGGCCTATACTGTAATCCAAATTATAGCAAACAGAAATCTTCTAAGACCTTTCAAAGGGACTCTGTAGCATGATGACTCATCAGAATTTTATCTTTCCCTTGCTACATATGTTGCTTTAATGTGACCTTCAGTTGTAGTAAAGGGCACTACCATTGGTTAACTGAGAATATTGTGTATGAAAAAGAAATGGCATCAAAAAGAGGAAGCTGGTTTTTCTAGATTGTGCTGAATGCAACTGATGGCACTCCTCTTGCTTAATGTAGAGGTGTGAACATTAGCCAAGTTTGTTTGTATTTTTCAGTCTCATAGCATACACAGAATCTATGGCTGAGGTGCTTTCTTCATCACTCACAATTCAATTGAGTTGCTGTTTTTCAGGTGCAGGTGTTTTCCACGTCACTTTTTAAAAATTATTATTATACACTTTGGGAGACCAAGGTGAGAGGATTGCCTGAGCCCACAGGTTTGACACCAGCCTGGGCAACTTAGTGAGACCTCATCTCTACAATAAATCAAAAAAGTTAGCTGGGCATGGTGGCACATGCCTGTAGTTCCAGTTACTTGAAAGGCTGAAGCAAAAGGATCACCTGAGCCCAGCAGGTCAAGACTGCAGTGACCATGAGCACGCCACTGTACTCCAGCCTGGGCAACAGAGTAAGATTCCAACTAAAAAAAAATATATATTATTTTATATTCTGGTCAAGTTTTTCTCTCTTAAATAGTAACACCAAGACAAAGCAGAAAGGCTAAAAATTCTAATATAGTTTCATAAATAAGAACAATGCAACCTATCTATCAGCAAAGCACATAGTACTTGGGGTTATTTTCTAATAGTGACAGTGAGCTTGAATTTCAAATATGGTTTTATCACCTGGTTCCTCTGACCAAGGACACTTATTTTTGAAGCAGCTATACTTGCTGGGTGAATCATTAGAGCTGGTACCAGTTAGTTAGCTGGGTTTTTAGGATAGATTTTATATAAAGGATTTGAAGTGACATAATGGAAAATACAGTTTGGCAAAGATCCCAAGATCTCTTTAGATGGTTCTTCCATGAAAGCTGAGAGCATGACATTCTATTTTAAGTCAGTGAGGTTTTCATCATTTGGGAGAGAAATGAAGATAATATTGTTATAATGTATTATTTTCTGATCATCTATTTGATAAGAGAGCAATAGAAGCCAAACTCCCCTTTGAAACTTCTCAGAGGCTCTGGGACAGAATTCCAAGAGAGTACGATGTGGACCAGAGCACCGTAGGTGATCCTTTCCTCTTCCTCTACTTCCTCTACAGGAGACAGGCTACCAGAGTCTTCCCTCTTGAAAAAAACTGGTGCTAAACTTCAAAAGTTGAGCAGACCCTTAAAGGAGAAAATTCTAACGTCTAGTGTAATTCCTAATGCTGCACAATGAATCCCTCCTCCTTTGGCATTTGGGAGGTTCCCCTCCCAGCTCCCTTTCCTACTCACTCTAAATTGAAATCTAATAATTGACACTCACCCAAGTACAAAATGCTCCTGGTATGATTTCCCAGAATTACAGGAAAATTAACCTAATTAAATTTATAGAAATGTAGCATCAGGGAAAATTCATACCAGCTACATGGTATTGCGTTCTTAGACCACCTAAGACAACCAAATACACGAGGAAAATGTATACACAAAAAGGAAAACATATACATAAAACAAAACAAAACAAAAATCCAAGACAAATAAAACCACATTGAAGGAAAGAGCAATAATTAGAGAAAAGAAGAGAATTCCAAAAAGTCCTAAAAAAAAAAAAGAAGCATTCACACACACAACCTTTAATTAGTACACCCAGAGATTCAAGAAGATATCATCATACAATAAAAAACAAAGTGATGTGAAAATAATCAGAAATAGGAGTGTTAATAAACTATTTTTCAAAGCATGACCCGGTCTGACCCCCAGGAACCTGTATCTGAACAATTCCTTCTAAAATCGGAAACATATAAGTCTATAGCTCCAGTTCTGCCCACTACTTTGTATTTTTAATGATACCATTAGATGTTTATCTTGTTTAAAGCCCTGATGTGGGTTTTATTTTATTTTATTTTTTTCTGTGTTGGAGTCTCACTCTGTTGCCCAGGCTGGAGAGCAGTGACAAGCTCACAGTCACCCCAGCATTGACCTGCTGGGCTCCAGTGATCCTTCCACCTCAGCCTTCCAAGTAGCCTTCCAAGTAGCCTTCCAAGTAGCTGGAACAAGTAGGCGCACGCTACCATGCCTGGCTAATTTTTTGATTTTGTTATAGAGACGAGGTTGTACCATGTTGCCCAGGCTGGTCTCAAACCTGCAGGCTCAGACAATCCTGTCACCTCGGCCTCCCAAAGTGCTGGGGCTACAGGCTTGAGCCACGGTACCCAGCCTGATGTGGACTTTTATATTTTATTAATAATTTCTGAGTATTAGGAGCAGTTGGAGCACATCAAAGTGCCAATTTACCATACCATCCTGTCCCAAAGTCCCTATATTACTTTTTCAGTTAAAAAATAAAAAAAATGAGGTTGGGTAGTTGTTATATGCACCATTTTTAGTAGAAATTTTATGAACCAAAAGACTATTTGTATCCACTCTTCCCCTGATAGTATTATTCTGGTACATCAATTACCTCATATTCATAATCAGATTATACTATGCAGTCCAAGAATCTATAAAGCCCTGATTAAAGTCTCTTGGGTATTTTTGCTCCTCTGACAAGAGTTGCTTTACATCAGTGAACACAGACTCAAGGCCTATATTCTTCTTAATTGTTTACTTGGAGAGATCATGGCCTTAGTAGCTGAACCCATTCCTTATGCTTAAAATATCCTTGTTGGTCATGAATTAGATTTATTGGGTTTATTAGATTTATTTTTAATGTAGCTCAGAAGACTTTTGACTGCATATTTTCTTTTTGGAAGATTAGTTGCATTACATTTTGATTAAATCCTGAAAAAAAAAGAGTAACCCGATGAGGTACTTAGTTAATTAATTTATTATTATTATTTTTTATTTTAAAGATGTGGGCTACAATTCAGATTTAGGTATACAAGTGGTCATTGTACAGGTAATGTTTGGGCCTCCCTTTGGTCCCCACTTCGCCTGGTTTGAGTTTAGGTACCCTTATTGATGCTATGTACTGCCCCTCCCCCACTCCCCTGGCAGTGTCCTACTTAAACAATTGAGGCCAGCAACAGATGGAAGGAGTTTTTGCAACCCTGTTGGCAAGAAATCTACTCATGAGACGTTTTTTCAGATTTAGTTGATTGGTTAAGGGTTTTTAAGTAAATTAAACCCCTGACTTTCATCCCAGAAAAACAAGCAAACAAACAAACAAACTCTGAACTGTGTAAAGTACAGAGAGATAAATTATGTGAACAAACTCTTGAGGTAGCAATAAAAAATGTGATCCTATTCTTGCAGTCATATCATAGGAAGCAATAGCCCTCCAAAACTAGTCATTAACCTGATAGTTAAGCTAAAAGTTTCCCACTGGGATATGTTGCAATTTATTTTCAAATCTGCAATATGGAGGCTTCTAAATTTGTTTTTTTCTTTTTTTAATTTGCAAGTTTAATACATATAACATTATAGAAAATTTGGAAAACAAACAGGATATAGGAAAAAGGTCATTACTCATGTTACTAGGTATAAAATCATTTTGAGTTATTAGGTTTGTGATGTCT